GTTCAGCTACAGGGTCTCTTCACCTGTGGGTGCCTCTGCCCATAACACTCTTCTGCTCTTCAGTGGCTCCTTTTTCTTGCCACTCACAGCCCTGTCTAGGAGCTTCTCCCTCCCCTCAGACATTCAACCATGCAACGTGTTTTCTCTACAGCATTTCTCAAAATGCAGCCAGTTATTTGCTTGTTTAGTGCCAGCTTCCAGGGGGTAGCGACCTTCTCTGTCTAGTACAAACACCTAAGCACCAGTGCTATGGTTGGAGGTGGTTTGTCCTTGAGGATTCATGTGCTGGGAGCTTGGCCACTAGTGTGGCAATACTGAGGGAGGACCTACTGGGAGGACCAAAGGTCAACTGGGGGCAGGCCCTTGGAAGAGACTGGTGGCTCTGTTTCCTGCTTTTTGATGTGATGTCTCCATTATGCACATGCTCCTGCCATAAAAGTCCTCAGCTGCCACCAAATCAGTGAAGTCACCTGATGTTGGACTTCCATCATCCAAAACTGTGAGTTAAATAATTCTCTTTTCTTCATAAGCATCCTATCTCAGTTATTTCATGATAGTAAAGAAAAACGGACTAACAGGGATATACAGCCTGCTCACTCAATATTTTTTGAATGAATAAATGTTATAGAAGGGACAGTGTAAGTTACATTGTTAAGTGTGGTAAAGTGCAGAAGACAACCTATGATATAGTTGCTCCCACTGAGGAAAAAAATTAAAGGATATAACTCTGTACATGAATTTTCAGAAGCATTAAACACTCCCCAAGATCTCATAGGAAATGAATAACACTGTCTCTGAGTTGTGGAACTGAACTTCCACACATCATCTTTTTTTTTTTTTTTTCCTTATGGTGCTGGGGATTGAATCCAGGGCCTTGTGCATGCGAGACAAGCACTCAACCAACTGAGCTATATCCCCAGCCCTCCACACAACATCTTAACCCCTTCTGTACCTTTTTTTTGGGGTGGTAGTGTCGAGTACCAGGGATTGAACTCAGGAGCATTCAACCACTGAGTCACATCCCCAGCCCTATTTTGTATTTTATTTAGAGACAGGGTCTCACTGAGTTGCTCAGCATCTCACTTTTGCTGAGGCTGGCTTTGAATGTTCGATCCTCCTGCCTCAGCCTCCTGAGCTGCTGGGATTACAGGTGTGCGAACCTGAGTCTGGCTTAACGCCTTCTGTACCATTAAAAAAAAAATTTTTTTTTTTTTTGAGATGCCAGGGTCTTGCTTATGTATCACTGAACTACATTCCTACCCATTTTTAAAAATTTTTATTTTTGAGACAAGGTCTTCCTAAGTAGTCCAAGCTATCCTCAGACTTGCAATCCTCCTGCCTCAGACTTCAAAGTAGCTGGAATTTAGGCACATGATACCAGGTCCAGCTCCATCTGAACTTTTTTTTTAACATGAGTATGTATTACTTCTGATATTAAATAGAATATAATCAGAAAACTATTTGATCTACAGGATTAAAGAAAAAAATTTCAAGTTATCTTTGGCCCACGTTGGGCACATACTCAGGTTGACAAGCTTAGGAGTTCAGTTGCTTGTGTCACGTCATGCAGGTGGGAGACAGAAAAGACCTCAGAGGCCAAACTCACGCCCATTTCATATCAATCTGCTATTTACTGTTAGGGGTGCTCACCATGGAGGATGCAGAGTCCAGGAGGCTCACCACCTTCATCTCAATCTCCTCCTCACCAAAGCTTTTCAGCAGTTTTATAACCTCGCTCACCGTCAGCCACTTGCAATCAACGCCTTGAATGGAAACAATATAATCTCCTTCCCTGGCTCCTGCCAGCTACAAAAGTATTGTTTAGAAAAGGTCAGTGTTTTGTTCTGTTCATTTAAATACCTGATTCAGTCCCCAGATTCATGAACAAAGTATAACTTTAGCATAACTTTGCTTTGAGAGAGCAAAATTTCATTCACAGTTCTCTTTGGGCATGTAGCACCCAAGAGGCCTTTCATATCAAGTCAGACCTTTGACATCCATGAACCCCGAATTCCATCACCTAGATGTATGCATCTGAGCTGCTTGCTTTCTATCTTCCCGGCCCGATTCTGTGTAAAGCTGCTGGTGGGCTCTCTCCCATCCAGACAGCAGCAGGCTTACCGCAGCAGAGCAGGAAGGATCCAGGAAGTAGACCTGAACTGGAGCATTTCCTCGCAAGGTGAACCCCACTTCCCCTTTTTCC